TATATATATATATATTGAGTAGAGTTCATAGTCCTTCCATATTGAAATCTATTTATTTCAAGTTCTTTGTATTTCAGCAATAAAATTCAAATTTGAGGGAGTTACTCTATCACTGCTGTTGTTAAACAGTTTGAAGTCAGAATACTTGTGGATCTACTGCAAATGAACCACAGGTCTATTACAATATTCAGATCACTTTTTCATCCAACCCTGCTCTAAACGACTTGACAAGATCATAGGAGTGATAAGAGATGCAATCAACAACCGTACTTAAGTCCCAAGTTAGAACCTTGATCATTGTATTTGTATTTATGTATTCCAAAATGCCAAAGAATTATCTGTGTTTTCCATATTTGAAATGTGACTATTATTTTTCACTATTAACAAATTGATAACATTTTCTGTCCATGCCAAGTGCTCAATGTCTATTTTCCTGAACTGCAGGAAAATGCAATGAAAACACAATATTCATAATAAACTCAACAGAAAAAAAAATAAGTTGTGCAGAATCAAATTCTTTTTCTTAGTCCTATCATCATCCTGGAACAAATATACCCAGAGGTGAATCTTGGAAGATCAGAATTCTTCCCACCCTCCCCCCGCCCCCCACTTTGACTGATATTGTTGTCCAATAAAAAAGGGTGACATTTTCAGCAGTGTGTTGCCCTTTTGCATAATGCATTCATGCAAGCTGAATAACACACTGACAGAACGAGGAAACCACCTACTGATTCATCAGCGTGATTTTTGGAAATACATGGGATATTTGGCAAAGGAGCCCAGCATCATGCCGAAGCTGTTTCACAGTAAATAATTGACACATTATGATGGCCAGAGTGTTTTGAAGGAAAGATTTTGCCTCCAGACTTGTCTCCTTCATTTACCAAGAAATCTCCTGGGTTTCACATGGACCCAGAAATATTTTGAGAATGATGGGGAGCTTTCAGCTATACAGTTCAGATAAAAGCAATACTAGTCACATACTTAAAAAGAAAAATGAGAGAAAGGGAGGGAAGGTCATCAGTAAATTATAAGTGACTGTGGACATGCAGTGCCAGAGATCTCATGTTGGGGACTGCAGCCATATCATTTAATAGTCAGCAGAGACCAAATCAACTGGCTGATTGTTGACAACATTTGTAAGTATGGGTGTACAGATCAACCTGTATCCAGGCGTGCCCATATCACAGGCATTCATTAGTCTTACTTTTGAAGGTCACTTCCCCAAATACAGGAAAGTTTGTATGTAATTTTACAACTGAGAAATATTTTGAGATAAGACGTTAGCAGACTGCATGAATTATGTCCCATTGTACTTGAGCAGAAATCTGTCACAGATTTCTGCAGCATCTCTAGTGACAAGTAACTATTGAGGAAATGTATTAAATTAGTAGAACAGGGCATGGGGTGAGCAGACAGCGGATGGCAAATTGATCAGAAAGAAAAGGCACTACTGGAGGTGATATGTGTGAGATTTGCCCCGTTCGACAGAGAAACTCTCGTGACACGTGTGGTTCACAAAGAAGGTTTACTCATGCGTAACGTAGTAGTCACAAGCAAAGCCAGGACTGGCTTGGTACAATTGCATCACTTGTTATATTCCCCCCACTGGAGGTGATATGCACTATAGATTCCAGAGTCTTGCAACCAGCTATAAGCTGAAGTAATACATGTAATTTAGAAATTGGATGTTCATACTTGGAATGCCTGTCGGATCATTTTTATTATAAGCCTCCTATCTCCATTTTGGTACTGGGCTGTGAAGCAGAACTCTTCCACATCACTTGTATGCTTCACGCTTTTGTCAAATCCCCGCTCCTTACATCTTGATAGTTTTAGAAGTGTAAGTGTGGATAAGCTTGGAGGAACAAATACAGTGTATGCCAGTTTCTACCAGATCAATGTCTTCTATGTAATTTGCAGAAAGACTGTCCCATATGTAGACTTCATCTGATACCTTTACATCAGACTTGAGTAAGCACACATTTATCCCCAAGAGATCTGCAGAGGCTTTTGTGACCACATATTGAATCTATGTCAGGAAATCAGATGGTATTAGCTGATATGATAGTGGCTGTAGACAACATAATATTGACTTGGAATCCTTCCATGTCATAACTCCTGTAATTAAACTCCTGTAAACTGGAATTTAATAAATGTAGAATTTAATGTATCTCTGGTGCTATATTTGGTATTATATTGTTATTTGTGTTTTAGACTCTGTACTTTTAATACAGGGTATATAAGCCACTCACACTCCATTTCAATTGGAGCAATACTTAACATAAAATTTCTCTTCTCTGGAGCCCTTCGTTGTACTTCCTACTCTTAAATATGTTGAAATGGGAAATACATGCACACCATAACTTTTGCTATTGCCGGCTGTCAATACGGATATGAAAATCTCACCATAAACAATGAGAAAGGTAGAAATTTTCCACACAAAGGCAAGAAAGAGTGGTGGTCAAGCGCTCACCTCCCCCATTTGTATAGGCACGATATGGAAATCTCCAAACATTCCCCAATCCAACGCAGTAGCCAATACAGGACAAAAGGAAATCCAGCTTGCCTGTCCAATTTCCTCTCTCTTCGGGATATTCAGTCTCTAGGTCACCATCTCCTTGATCACTAGGAGTCATTAACAAGTCTGGAATGACTGGCTGATAAGGAAGAGAGAGAGAAATGCAGAGGAAATGAAAGACACACATGAAAGAAGGGGGGAGAGGAGGGCAGGGCACATTTCAGAGCAAGGAGATAATGATTTTTAACATCCTATTAACAGAAGCTAGAATATGGTATACAAGTTCACCGTCCCAGAGCTTTTCAGATTGCTTAGTATGTATCCTTTGATGCTGCACTCTATAGCAAATTGCATATGTGAATCAGCCATCACAACTGAGACTTCTCAGGCAGGATTTTTGTACCCTTTCTCACATCCCGCCAGTGCTTCCTCTCTCCATAAAGCCAATTCATGTATTTCAGACATGAATCACAAAGGCTGCTTCGCACAGCTGACAGCCTTTACACCATGGCCTCCAGCACCATGGAAAGCTCTTGGCAGCCCTCACAGCCCAGTTGCTTTCAAGTGGGAGTGTTGATTACGTGAACTGACATAGCCACACAGAGCATGAGCATAGTGCCAGAATCTGTGTGAGTACAACGGCTTGCAAAGGAGCATCCACAGTCATGTAAAGAAAGAAGAATAGGCATTATTAAATATTCTATAAATGCAAGAGTCTTTCTGAAAATGTTTGTGTTGTCATCTCATTGAAACATTTGAAAAAGCTATGTTTATCGTATCAGATTAAGTTGTACAGCCATAGAGGTAGCAATCCTCACTTGTATAGGGAGATGGGTGGCATATACACATTTGAAAAATAAATAAATCCAACAAACAGTATTGATTAACCCATTTTGATTTTTTCCTATGAGTAAAACTGAATATTTAGAAATAGAACTTGATAGTAGAAGGAAAATCTTCCAATAAGACTTATCTTATAACCTTAGACAAAACTTTTCCAATTCTGCAATCTCAAGATATGGACAGCAGTTCTCATACTTCTAGTCTGGATACCCCATTAGGGAAGGCATTCTGAGAATATCCCTTCCTGGTGTTTCAAAAATGTCAATGTGTTTGTCCTATTTAAGAACAGCCCAGCTAGCTCAAACTAAAAAAGTCTACCTTACTCTGCCTTTAAAATGCTCCTCCCTTTACATGGCTTTCAGCCACATCTTCTCAAGAAACCGTTTCATGGGTTGAATCTTATCTGGAAATTACACATATAGATTTGTCTGTTTTTTCATTCTTGATGTGAAAAACTATGGGCACTTCCACACTGTCATTTCTGCCATCTCTGGCATCCTCGTCTCCATTGTCCTAAAAATACTAGATGAGTCAACTAGTGTTCTTTTGGGTGGCCAAAAGGGAAGAACACACACACACACCTCATTCTACCACCCTTAACACTTCTGGCAAATAATATAAAGGGGGAAAAAAGACCTATGAATACAAGAGGGGGTCAATGAAGTCACCCCTGCTCACTAGATAAAGCTTGGTAAAACCGTGGTGTGGTACCATGGCATGTTAGCCTTAACAGAGATTGGACAGAAGTAAGGAGCCAGGAGACAAGACAAGGTGAGTATTCCACCAATGGGAAATAGCCCAATGCCAAGATCCTGTGTTACCACTGTCTTTGCATCCTGGCTTCACACCTGAGGGGAAGGTACTGGGTTACCTGTCAAAAAGCAACAGTGCTGTGGAACACAGAGTATGGCTGACTTAGGAGGAACCCAAACTCATTGTGTAGAAATGCTGTCTGGTTACCTAGGAAAAGACCCATTGTGGATGTTTAGAAAATAGTTAAACTCTATATTGGTCATTCATATATTCTTTGAAGACAGTTCCAGGCTCCAGAGAGCTTTGGCCTAATTTAAGCATGTGTCCTTCTTTTTCACCAGTTGCTGTCTTTTCATTTACCACAGTTATAGAGGCAATGCTTCTTTTGCTCAGTTTCCATGGAGACAATGAAGAAAAAGTTAACTGAGGAAACCGGCCCTAATAGTGAACCACTATTATGGTTAGGGTGGTGGCAAGCTTCTTACAGGGATTTTATATGTTAGTCTCAATGTTTTCTCTTCTGAATGTACATTGCTCTTTTCTTTGTTTTATTGTTCTTACTGTTTTTAATGATGTATGCTATCCAGTGTCTTTATGGAGTTGGGTGGCCTTTAAATTTGACAAATGATAAATAAATAATCTTCTTCTATTCTGTTCTTGAACTATAAGTCAACTTCTACTTTCCTTCCTCACGTCCCAAGCATTTCAGAGGGTAAATTGGATATACACATTTCCAGATCTCCAGATAACACATCTTCTATGACAAGAATATATGGAAATGCAGCTGTAGAACATTACTTCTATTTTTGATGGAAAGATGAGATTAGATTGATATGATACATTGAAATATTAGTCATGAACAACAAGGAATATGTTTGTGTCCAAAAAGGAAGAGGAACTGACTCTCATGCTAACTTATGAGGGAACCCTTAACTGCTGGTAGATCCAATCTCAGAAACCCAACTAGGGAAGGGGGTACAGCTCAAGAGCGCATACAGTGGTTATTGATGTGTCACCTGAAGAAGAGGACATACCTGTAGAAAGAGGTGACTTACGTGAGTTTGCAGATGATAATTTTCATGGATAGAAACAAAGTTAGAAATCATGACGATTCTTGAAAGAGACATACAGCACATCTCCACGCAGTGGGATCAGGTGGCCACTGCTGACTAGGGGCTAAGTATGGACAGGTTAGTTTAAGACCCCTTGTTGATACAGAATCCAGATTTTCACCACCCAATTAAAAAAAAAAAAAAAGATGAAAATAATCTGATCGAATAGTAACTTTGCTTTTTTGCCTGCAAATTCCAGGGGAAAAAAATTACAAGCAGTTGTCAAGCTAGGTTATTCCTGAGTTTTGACTTACAATGCCAAGATATATGATGTTTTGTTTGCTTGTTTTTTGTGCCTTTGAGGCAGTCTTGACTCCTGACGACCGCCTGGACTAGTCCCTGCAGTTTTCTTGGCAATATTTTTCAGAAGTGGTTTGACATTGTCTCTTTCCTAGGGCTGAGAGAGAGTGATGATTTTAATTACTGTTATATGTTATGGGGATTATAATGATGCTTGCATGATTGTTATACTATTTATTGTTTTATGATTGGCGCTGTGAGCCGCCTAGAGCTGAAATTGATTGAAGCAGCATCAAAGCATGTGGAATAAATAAATGCTCCTTTTCCTAACATTCAACTGAACCTCTTTTCATGCAACTTAAGGTTACTATTCTGAATTCTTAAACTCAATACTCTGGAATAATAAAGACTGGTTCAGGAGCACTGTCTGTTTTGCAAACTTTCTGTAGCTGTGGACCATTAAATAAGCTTTCAGAAAATGTGGAATCACCCAGTTAAACAACGCTTTCAAATTTAAGAAATGGGGAGCTCACATTTTTGGTAAATAAGATAATGATTTTACTTGCATTTGTATATGCCTTCCCATCCCCTCCATTTTGAAACTAAATTTTGATCCAAAATATAAAATCCAAAATTAAGTATTTATTTACCACTGGAACTATTTTATGAACCTCTTACTGTAATAACAAGAACTGTTAGCATCAATTTGCTGATCAAGAAAACACAAATCTCTGGGTATTGAAGAGTTGCGGGAGGGTGGGGTGTCAAAGATGGCCAATGACAAAACATGTGTCATGATGTTGCAACACAACTCTACCCCTTCTCTATGTGCACACAGTGTCCCAGGCATTGCATCATGACTTCACAATGCACATTTAGTCATTCTGATAAATCCTCAGCTTGAAACATATGTCCCTGTGTTGCACCCCTCACCTAAAAAGTGTGCTTTTTTCTTTCCCACACACACATTTAAACAAGTTTCTTTCTTTTATGGAAATGTGCATGCCCTGAACTCTCACTTTGCAATCTTAAAACCTGCAGCCCTTTGAGGAAGGCTAGGTCAAAAAACAGACGTGACAGGAATTCCAGGAATGCTGTAGGGAAGAATCCTGAAAGCCTATCACAGTTTCTCTCTGCTCCATCATATACCAGACAAAACTAAGGCAGGATTATCTCGAATTTCTTTCTCATGCTTTTCTCTTTCTCAGGACTGAGAAATCTTTCTGAAAGTTCCCCTTAATAGTATGCTCATTTCTTGTCTATTCCAAAGGCCAAATATGGGAACCCTTGTCATAGACAAATGGGCATAGTTGAAAAACAATGTAGCACAGAACACATTTTCATGTACATTCTCTGTTGGTTCCACTTAGTTTCCTACAACAGCTTCAACACATTTGAAGATTTCTAGGGGTGCTTTCTGAAGAATTCCAGGGTGAAGAAGGGTGCCATATGGTATGGACATGGGCATTATCAACGTTTCTTTGTGATTTTGCACAACATTATGAAAAGGCCACAGAATGGCCCTTTTCTAAAACGATAACCTTAGGTACACTTTCCAAAGGCAAGTTCAACTATAAACAGTAACACTAAGTTCATAGTAAACATGCATAATATTGTATTGAACAGCAGTTTGGAGTGTAAAGAACAGAATTCAGCAAGGAAGGAACTGGATTTTAAAGCAGTTGCTAATAGATCTAGTCATTGTACTTGTTTATGAACATGTAACAGGAACACAAAAAGCAAAGCAGGACAACTGGATGCAACACAGCCCTTGTCTGAAAGCACCGTGGGGTGGAGAAATATTACTGAAATGATTAAAATGTACTAAGCAGAGAAAAAGTAAATGAAGTGTTAGAGGAAGTTACGATGACTTTCAACTGTGTGGTGTGTGTGTTTATATGCACACTTATGACAATGATTGGTATATATGCAAGTCATATGTATGGTGAACTTAAAGGTATGAATAAGTAGTCAGCCTTACAAATGGGGCATTGTGAATACTTTGTGGCAAAACAGCTTTAAAAAAAATTAAATACCCTTGTTTTTAGGAATAAACTTTCTTGCAGTAATTACAAATGTTTTGGCTTTTTACTTAACGCATGCCGAGCACTAAGTTAATCAATGCTGGAAATCTTCAGAATAACACAACTAGCTATTCTGTTTAAAGCCTATTTACAACTGTATTATGGCC